GGCAACATTCGAGTAACCAAAAACGTAAAATTAAAAAAAAACTTTATATCTCGAACTTCGTGCTTTTCGCATCTGACTGTATTCAATACTTTAATAGAGTATAGCCTCCAGCAGAAAAACTCTTGGATTCTCAGGCACATTAATCGTATATTGGGAGTTGAAACGACCCCTGGAGTAAAATTAAGGAGTACAAATTACTCCATAATTTCTACTCCTAAAAGAGAGTTTAGTTTACTCCTCCAGTGGAGTTAAATTGACTCCTGATGGAGTAAATTGTAGAATGCGCGCCGAAGTGGAGTAGTTTTAACTCTATTTTAGGAGTAGATTTTACTCCACAATTTTCACTCTCCCGAGTTGAGTAGTTTTAACTCCTATGGTGGAGTTAAAATAACTCCTTGAAATTAACAGTGTATATGTACTGAAAGGAAACTTAATCTCAATGTTACTAAGGTAAGGTCTACTAAATGTCATATATTAGATATAAACTTTAACGTCCCAAAAGGATATACTCTGTTCAATTTCTTGTTCAAATTTCATCATCGTTCGCTTGCTCTTGGATGCGTAACCTAGCGGTGACCGCTGCCTCACGGGTTGGTCGAAATACTGCAGCTTCTGGATTGAGGTTTTCACTACCGGTTGATGGTCTTATGTCACACGACAGTTCAAATGGGTAGAGTAGATTGACTGCTCTCTCTAATTGACCGTTTCCCGTCTTTGTCTTTGCTGCTCGAATGACCCCGTCTCTTCCTGGGTAAAGCTCCTGAACTATTCCGAGCGGCCACTTCCCTCTATTGCGCTCTTCAGAATAAATTATGACGACATCACCCACAGCTAGGCTGAATGGCTTCGTATCATGTTTTAAATTGTGTCGTTCTCGTAAGGCTCGTAGGTACTCTTTCGTCCACCTGTTCCACATGTGATCTTTACATTTCTTTAGGTATTTCGCGCGTTTACGTAGGTCAGGATCGGCTTCGTGGTAATGTTCGGGTTCCGGAAGGTGGGTTGATCCAACAAACTGAAAACTGTTCGGTGTCAATGTTGGCATTTGGATATCATCTTCTTGGTACCCTAGAGGTCTGTTGTTCAATGTTGTTTCAATGTCTAGGAGGACATCTTCGAGTTCTTTCTTGGTTAAGAAGCCATTCCCAATAGACTTGTATAACGCGGACTTGACCAAGCCGACCATTCGTTCGAATTGGCCCAACACCAGGGGGCCCGACTTAGATTGAACTGCCATTTTATTTTTTTCCTTGGCCAGGAAATGATTGAATTTTTCATCTTGTTGTGCCTTCTTCAACCACTTGGCTGCCGCAACGAAGGTCTTTGCGTTGTCGGGATAAATCTTTTCCGGTCTGCCTTTCCTCGCGATGAGTCGCTTGAGGGTAGGGATAAATTCATCGGTTTCCATGCTCGTGGTTAACTCTAGGTAGAGGGCTCGCGTTAGACTACATGCGTAGAGGGTTATATACGCCTTTCCTTCTGTCTTTTTGGTGACGCGATACTTGATGGGGCCGGCGAAATCGACGCCTACGACCTGAAACGGACGATCACCTTCTGTTCGGTCTACGGGTAAGTTTCCTGGAGGTGGTTTACTAACTGGCTTAACATGAAATCGTCGACACTCGTGGCATCCCTTTACGGTCTTCTTCACAAGTTGTCTTAGCCTTGGCACCGAAACGTTCTCTCTAATCTTGGCCATAGTGAGCCCGATTCCCCCGTGTAAAGTGCGTTGATGCGCATCTTCTACGAGTTTAGTGGTGTAAAGATGACTGTCCGGTAAAAACATGGGGTATTGACCTTGCAACCGACCTTTGCACACGAGGATACCATCTTCATTCCTTTGTACACCCAGGCGTTGCTTATCGTCGCTCACTTTTTGTGTTGGTTGTTTATCTCTTGCGTTGTCAACGGCCCCGACCGTATCTCTTTCTTAGTTGCTTTCAAAGCTCGACAATTATACACAAATCGAGAAATCCATGCGTTTACTCTTACAGCTTTGTTGAGGGAAAACTTTGTCAAGATTTCGTCAGGTGGGTTGGTTGGTTCTACAGCTAACTTGAACACTGCTCTTGTCGCTTTGGCTTCGGCTTCATGGGTTGCAGTCGTTACTATATCTCTTGGCCACTCGCTCTGATTGGTCAACCACGGAGGTCCTTTCCACCACAGTAGATTTCCAGTTACCTGTCCTCCCCGACTTCCCAGGTCAGCAGGGTTGTCTTGACTTGGGACATGACGCCAAATTATATCTGGGCAAGCTTGAATCTTTCTCACCCGATTGGCCACAAATTGTTTATATTCTCCTCCCCCTTTTAACCATTGCAGCTAGCGCTACCGTGCTGTCTAGCCATCCGTAGGTTCCCGTAACAGGCATTCCATCAAGCGCTTGTTGAACATTCATCATCAGATTTGCTGCCATGTGGGCGGATACAAGTTCTAGGCGAGGTATGCTCAAGTCCTGTTTAGCTAATCTTGCTCTGGCAGCGACTAAACCCACGTTAGTTTCATCACCTTGTTTCACAATTGCATAAAGGGCTGCACAAACTCCTTTCCCATTTGCATCCCCAAATGTGTGCAGCTCAATTTGTTCTACAGCTTCGCGCTGAGTTGTCAAGGCTCTCGGTACAGTTACACGTCTAGGCAGTTCCCTTACCCATCGACCGTATTCTGCTGCTTGTGGTTGTGGAAGTGATGCATCCCACGCTGTTTTTGCCTTGCAAGTTTCTCGGTAGATTGTCTTTCCCTTGAGTGTCACAGGTGCTACAAGGCCCAAGGGATCATAAATGCTTGCTAGATTGCACAAAAGTTCTCTCTTAGTCACGTTCGGTTTCATATCGGGGACCACAACACTGAACTCATCAGCTTCCTTGTTCCAGGACAGGCCGAGAAGACTTGACTCCGGATCGGTTGGTGCACCAAGTTGCTGTTTGGCAAAGGTATTCTCCGTCTCCACGCTGGACTGTTCGCTTTCCAACTCACTATCATTTGAATGCCATTTGTGTAATGTGAACTTGTCATCTTGAAAAATCTTAATAGCTCCTTCCTTCAAATTTTTTGCTTCTGCTACGGTTGGCTTACCACTCAGTAGGTCGTCAACATAAAGGCTTCTACGTATTTCAGCGACCAGCTCTGGTTCACGTTCTTCCCACGATTCCAGGTGACATTCGACGACACCGCCGAGAAGGAACGGAGAACACACTAGACCAAATAGCGCTCGCGTGAATCTCAATGTTTCGACTAACGACTGTTTATTGGACTTCCAATGGAATCTGAGTGAGTCTCTCTCTGCTTTCCTGATACAGACTTGTAAAAAAGCTTGTTAAATGTCCCCGGTTACTGCAACTGGGTGAAAGCGAATGCGTACCAACACGTTCCATAACCGATTTTGGAGCGGAGGTCCTGCATAAAGACAATCATTAAGGCTTGGTTCTTGTGGGTTTTCTCGAGCTGAAGCATCGTAAACAACGCGTAGTTTGGTTGATTCAGCTTGTGTTCTCATAACAGGTTTGTGGGGTATGTAAAATTCTTTCCCGGTTGGTGGTTCGGTTGCAGACTCCACTATCCCCTCTGACTTTTGTTGATTGATTACCTCTGCATACTTCTCCGTCATTTCCATCCGTTGTAGCTTGTTATGGAGTTGCGTTAGTCGCCGTAAACTGCCCGTTTTATTATTTGATAGAGGGGGGTGGCTCCCTTTCCAAAGTAAACCTGTCTCGTACCACCCTTCTTGATGTCGTACTAGCTGCTCACGAAATTCTGCATGGACCGCATATTGATCATGTTCAGGCTTGTTCTCCAGCCCCAATACGTCCAATCTACATAAGTCCTCGTAATCTGACTGGCTTGTCTGTGTCAGAAGCATCTTTGAGTGGTCGAATTCCTTACCCGGAGACATCATTGTCCATCCCAACCTGGTCTTCTCCGCTACCGGTTCTCCTGGGAGACCAACACGGGGTGGTTCTGCTGTCTTGATAGCTGCGTACGCGCTTGCGCCCAGGATGAGATGTACTGGTAGAAGGGGTTTAGTATCATTGTAGTGGTAGTATGTTGCACTGATAAAAATCTTTATTTACAGTTTAAAAAACGTAAAATATAAATCAAGCTTTCGGACTAAGCGTCCATCGTCAGGATTAAAATGGCAAAAATGATCAGTCGCTTAAATACTATTTACATGTCAATGACCTAACTAAAATACTAGGTTTTTTGAATAATTAGACTAAAAGACAAAAGAGTCATAATAGAGTCATATAAGCGTAATATAGAGTCAACAAAAGAGCCATAATAAGACACTGGATAAAAGAGTCATAATAGCGTATTATGGCGTCAACAAAGCATTATTTAGTCTTTATCAATTAGCGTTCTAAAAACTTCCGGCAATGTTCTGCCATTGTCTCTATTGGCAATGGCACTCTTCTCATTTTCCATAATTTAGGGTTTAGTATCGTTGTCCTCCATACTTACTCCCTCGAGATGATCATACGAATCAACCAGAGTCTGGTAATTTGGGTTGGCGATCATTAGTAGGTTTCCCCGTTCGACTCTTGTCACTTCAACATCCATCTTAAAACTGCCGTCAGTAGCTCCCACGCTGATGGTAGAAATAGACAATTCACGAATAGTCGAACCCAACATCATTTCTATTTGTCGAACTTCTTTGGATTGAGATCGTCTTGGAAGTTTGTCCAAGAGAGCAGCAAAAGCATAAGAGCTTCCTGCTCCTCTGTCAAGTAGTGCTCGACATATCACACCCTCCACTCTTACGTCAACAACTGGGTATACCACTTGACTTGCACTTCCCCCTGTCGCTACCTTAAGACTTTCCTTCACAGTGCATATCGAAGTGTGGTGCTTTAGTTTGCACTTCTGACAAACAGTTGTACTTCGACACTCATTAGCTCGGTGTTTTGGGCCCGTACAATTAAAACACAATTTCTTCCTGGCTAGAATCCCTTCCTGTCATCTACACTCACCACGCATGTACACTCTCGTGAACCATGGCTGATGTCATCACAATACACACAAGGGCGTTTACGGGCATTGGCATTAAATAGACTTTCTCGTCTACTCCCCTTTCGTCTCTCTTTGTCACCGTCCTTGACAATCTCTTTATCACTAAGGTTTATGTCCCTCCATTGTTTTAAAGCTCTAATAAGATGTGCTAAATCCCATTCTTGCCAATTCCCTTGCCCTCTCACTAAGTCACTCTTTATCCCTGGCAATTTGTCAAGCAAACTTCGTGTCATTCCATTCACACGCTCAACTTTTCCCATTGTTTCAAGTGATTGTACATTAAAAAGCAGAATTTTATAGAAATTGTTTATCTCACCTGGATCAGTACTTTTCACCACTGGTAACTCGAGAATGTTCTGGACATAGGCATTGACAATTTCGCTCGGTTTGCCGTACTCTCCTTTCAAGATATTTTTTGCCCTTTCATACCCGTAGAGCGGTTAGAGGCAACCCATCGATATCAGCTCTCACCTTCGGCTTAACAAACTCTTTCAAATAGGTAAACTTCGTAACGGGCGACAGATCGGCACCGTCAATTTCAGCAACAAATTTGTTCCAAAAGGGTGGCCAATTCGCACATTTCCCATCGAACTGCGTAATAGATAGCTTCGGTAATTTTGTCGACGCCGCTTTCTTTACTTGGTTTTGCTGTCCCGTTGCTAACACCTTCTGAAACTTTAGCTGTTGTTCATAAAGTTCACGTTCGTGACTCATTTTTTGTTCGTGCTTTTCGTCCTCGATTGCCCTCTCTTGTTTAACTGATTCGGCCAATTCAACGGCCTGGTTTTCCTTCGCTATATTTTCTTTTATTCGTTTTAATTCTAACAATTTCTCGTCGCCCGTTTTCAAAGTTCCTTCAATGTCGACGAGCCATTCTTGCACTTGCTCTTCAGTTTGTTCCTGACCGAATTTCAATTCTATAATGTCATCTTTTAAGGCGTGACTCGCTTCGATTTTACCTTTGATTGACGCTTCGTGTCTAGTTATCACATCGAGGTTTCTCGTTTCGATTTCTTGTTCGCTTTTACTCAACGTAAATTTTAATGTTCGTAGTTTCCCATCAAGCTCTTGTAGTTTTGTCTCCATGCTTTTCTTTCACTTCGTTTGTTTAGTTATATATAATAAATCACTCGATAAATAGCGGCCGTATATCACTGTAGTTAAGTTTGTACACTGTCGTTTAGTTTCGATTTGTCACTCGATAAATATGCTAGGTTCTTGCTCTTGTTCGAGCTTAAAATCCCACAAATCCCATCACGGAGGTGCCAGTTGTTGAGAATTGCCTCCCGTTGCTCCCAACACAAGTTAAAGATAACAAACACTATTTATTTTTATAGTTTTATTCACAAGTCTCATGCTGGTTTCGCTGTGTTTTTTCCCGAATCCCTCTCAAAAGTAAACATTTCACCGGTATATTCCGGAGCTGTCCGACAGTTCGCGAGTGTGCTCGCATGTCCCGCGCGATAACATAACAGCTAAATATAGTTTCCGAATATATATATATATATATATATATATATATATATATATATATATATATATATACATACA